CAATCGACTACTACCAGGAACGTCTACTCCAAGCGATGACGACACTCGGAGCCAGCGGACCTCCGACTGTCGGCCACTTGATCCAGCGCCTGTAACAGCGCCATCAACTGAGCCACGACAATACAAGTACTCTCCTCAGAGCTCTCGAAATCACCGACAGCCTCACGACACTGCCTTTGATGCCACACGAGAGTACATCAATAATAACGTCATTNATGCACAAACAAGCTCTACGGACGACAAGTGCGTGGCTTCACGCAACAGGAATGGGAAAAGGTGAGAGAATACATCGTGCTTGTGGGCACTTTCGAGAAATTCTCCCAAAATCCTGCCATGCGTCAATATCTTCTCAACACAGGCGACAACATTTTGGCCGAAGCCAGCCCTTTCGGCAATACATGGGGCATCGGCATGAGCCGATCACCCCGAGGCCGCCAACCCCTCCAACTGGACAAGAAAAAATTTACTTGGTAAGGCACTTCAATCGGCTAGAGACTTGCTTCGCTCATCTGCATCACTCCCGATGCCGCCACTGGAAAACCCCACCGACTCAGCACTCGACAATAACGGCATTCACGAGATCAACACCGACACTCAGCAACCCATCAATCCACCTTCAGAGTCACGTCCACAGCCAACCGACATCAACGCTCTTTGGCCCTCTGACGCCTCTTCCGACTACGACAACGACATTCTCCATATTGCGGCCGTCAATTTCCACGTCGACAATCACCCCAAAGTACTTGCTGAACACGGACCAGGTCTCGTTGACGGTATTGTAACCGTTGACGACGCTTCACAATCCACCAAAGTGTGCATACACTCAGGTTCCGCAAGCTCAGGTTACCGCTGCGGCGCTCTCCTAGACTCCGGCTCTCCAGCCCGTTCGTCAACAGCAATGCTCTCGGCACCATGCGAGCCACAGGATGTGCGACACAAGACTGCGTCGCCACCAACAACACTCGCTCTTGGGGAGGATTCGGTAGCTCTCAACCACTCGTCACTAATCAGATTGTACGTCTCAGTGTTCAATTTTATCACAAGGACCAACCCACTGCTTCACTCACTCGCCGTCTGGGCTCATGTAGTTCCAGCCAACACCATGCAACAGCCACTTCTACTAGGACGCGACAGCTTCATACGCTACACCACCCGCACCTACACCGTGCTACCTACGCGTTCTCCAACCCAACGCGTGCTGGGAGAATATGCTTTCTCTCACCACCGAGCCTGCGGCGCCTCAGCCTACATTCCAGATCCCTCTGCAGCTCCAGGAAGATTCCACCTCAAATACGCTGGAATATCTGGAATATCTCTCTCGTCAAATCACCAATTGATCAAAGTCAACCTCGTCCGCGCCATTGGATATCCTGCTCTCAGAGGACACTACCTGGTAGACACTATTCCAGATTTGTCCCCTTCAGAAGAGCTCTTCGTCTCTCACGGCCGACAATTTCTACCTCTCGCAGGATGCGCTGAGCTTGAACCGGGCGACATTTTAGGTACAGCAGCCGCCCCTCTCATGCGTGTATCTATCGACACTATTCAACAATTCAGCGACAAGCAACCGTCAAAGCACTTCGAAGTGCCAGGGCCATCACACTCTGCCGATGCAGCACACTGCGATGATCCCTTCATCGGCAATGTGTCTACCGACACTATCGGGGGACCTGCACAGCACTCCTCCCCCCCTTCCGACAATTCGTCCCCACCGACACTTCCTCCACAGGAGCTTCTGGACCGCTTATATGCCGCTCAACAGAAAAGCTTCCTATCTCTTTGGGACCGCCTACCACCGCACATGCGAGCCATCACGTTCAATCTACACGGCGAAGGCTGAACGCCTACTGTCATAGATGAGCTCGCTGATGTCTTACACAACTTCCGAGACGATTTTCCACCCACGGACCTGAGCTGCTGCCCATTGCTACCATTCAAAATCGACATTCCGGACGGTACCTCACCGGTGCGAACCAAGCCATACCGCATGAACCCTCTGGTCGCCAAACAAGTGGACGCCATTTTGGACAAATACCTCGCGGCAGGTTTAATCCAACACTCCACTTCTCCGTACTGCAGCCCCATCGTCGTCATTCCAAAAATATCTGGAGGGCTTCGCATCACCGTCAATTACCAGAAACTCAACCGCATCAGCAGCTTCAGTCAACTACCTGTTCCTCGTGTCGATGAGATCATGAACAAACTGCACCAGGGCTCCATCTTCTCGCTCTTCGACTTCACGGGCTCCTTCCACCAAGTTCCCGTGCACCCCGACACAATTCCGCTCACTGCATTCGCCACACCGACTCGCCTTTTCGAGTGGCTCAAAATGCCAATGGGTGCCAGCCAATCTTCAGGCTGGTGGATGAAGGTTATCAACGACGTATTCGAAAACCTCGAAGGCGTCGACGCATATCTCGACGATGTGGTGCTCTACGACAAGACACCGGCGGATCACATCCGCACTATGCGCGCCTTCCTACAACGGCTGCGCAAGCACAAGCTCAAGCTTTCACAGCCTAAGGCCACCATTGGCACGACACACTCTGCATTATTGGGACACACCATTACTCCCGACGGTATCAGGCCCAACGCCAACAAAGTAGCCGCGCTGGCGGCTATGCCAATGCCAACCGCCCTCAAGAGACTTCGCTCTCTTCTCGGTGGTCTGAGCTACTACCGCAGCTTCGTCAAAAACTTGTCTAGACGAGTACGCCCCGTCACGACAATTCTCAAGAAAAAATCGTCCTTCACCTTCACCTCCGACATGGAAGCCATCGTCCGAGAGATCCTCAAAGAACTCTCCGAGCCGCCAATTCTCGTCTTCCCCGACTGGAAAGCCATCGAAGACGGCACCAGACCTCTCCGCCTCCACTGCGACGCCAGCCTCGATGGTCTGGGCGCGACACTAGAACAAGAACAGGCGGATGGCTCTGTTTGACCCATCGTCTTCATCAGCAGGTCGACACTTGACGCTGAGCGTAACTGGACACCACTCGACTTGGAAGCTGGCGCCATCGTTTGGGCCATTAAACGCTTGCGTGGATACTTGCGCGGCACACACTTCCAAATTTGGACCGACAATCAAGCTCTAGAGAACATCTCCAAGGTGGGAGACCACAGCCCACGCGTGCAGCGTTGGCTGGAGTTCCTCACAGGGTATCAATACACGCTGAAACACCGCCCGGGCTCCTCGAACAGCAACGCCGACATGCTGTCTAGACTGCCCATACCCCCCAATACACAGGACATCACAGGATATAGCCGCATCACCATGCCAGATGATGTGGGTGTCTACATGATTCGCGCCACCGGCAACATTCCTTCTGGTCCTTCTGCACAGGGTATTGCTTTGGGCGGGCTAGTACCCAACGGTGGCACCGACACTTTGAGTGGCTCCCCACTGACGTCGGCGGATTTCCAGGATTTTCGCCGGCACGGGCTCCGAATGAGCATTGACGACCTCGACGCTCCTCCCGGAGTATTCGCAATTCGTGCTTTTCCGTCAGTCTCCAACAACAATTCACGTCCCCACTCTCGCCACTCTCCTGCGTTGCGCGACACCAACACAGTTGATCAACCGGCTTCGCCCCGACACTTGGACCAACATAGCAATTACCCTACCACCGCACGTCCTCCGTCCTCAAATCTTCGACACCATCCCGGCACACTATAGTCTGCCGCTCACTCTCCGGCACAACCTCCCAGTTCGACAATGCCCCCTGCAACTGCAGCTCGCTCCAGGTCAGACATGCTGGAATCACCTGCACTTCAGCGGCCTCTCTCTCCTTCTCGGTTGCGCCCGCGTTCTTTGGATCCATCAAATTTGATATCCACCCGCACGCGACGCCGCGCAGCTGCAACATCTGGGAACCCTCTGCGTCAAGTAACTTACCGCTTCAGCCCAGACATTTCCGCCACTGCGGCACCAGCACCTGCTGCACCTCCACGCAGGCCGCGCACCGCAACTCCTGCGCCACCTGCACAGACCGCAGCGGAACCTGTTCCCACGGTACCAACTGCCAACATCACTGCTCCCTCAGAACCTCCCGCAGAACCTCTGCCGGAATCTGCTGACACACCATCCACAGGGACCCCCTCCACTTCAGCTTCTTCGTCACTTCCAGCGCCACTGCCTTCTCCAGCTGAATTGTCCTTCATGGACTCTGTAGCGCGCTTCACCCACGCCGACTGGTATGAGGAACAACAAAAGGACGTCACTTGCAACGCCGCCATTCGCTACATGCAACTTTGGCAACCTTCAACATTGCCTACAGGTTTCCACGGTGACACCCCAGAACACTTGCGTCCCTCCCTCACCGACATCAAGGAATTGACCACCAAAGGTCGCATCATCATCTATGACGACGGCGATCCGCTCCTGGTTCGACAAATTACCAAAACGCCAAATTCCAACAACGATCGTCCTAGCGGTAGAGCTGCTCGCGTTCTCGACAATGAATCCACGCGCATTTATGTGCCGATACACATGCGTCCTTGGGTGATGCTTCAATGCCACTCCAACACTCTGTCTGCGCCACCTTGGCACCGCCAAAACCATCAACCTCCTGAAACAACTCTATGGTGGGTTGGCATGAGCGCTTGCGCCCGCTTCTGGACTCGACAATGCTACACGTGCCAAGGCCGCAAATCAGCACGACAAACTAAACGTTGGCCCATCCTCACCATTCCCCTGCCCTCAGGGCCAGGTGTTGCAATCAGCGTGGACTACTTTGGACCGCTCCCTACTACTGGTCATGAACCTCTGTACAAGTTCCGAAATTCCGTAAAATTTGTACGTACTTTTTTTGAACGAAAAATTGGAATGTATAATATAATGGCCCATATGTCTGGGGTCATGTTAAAAAAAAAATCGAATTTGACCCCGGGGACGATATATTGCGCCCCCAGGTTTTTTCCGGGTCAAAATGAGCCTTTATTCCGGTCTGAGAGCTTATTCTATTTCGGACTGTAGGGATGTAGAAGCGCGTAAAACACCAACATGAAGCAACTGGGCACGTGTTATCGACCAACAGCAGTGTATTCCTACATGGTGGGCTCATGTCCGATAAAAAAAGTCGATTAGTTACCCGGGGATGGCTCATACTCTGTCCCCGGGTATTTACTTTTTCGCCAAATTGGGCATGTTTAGGGTTACTTGTGCAAGTAGAGGCACGAAATATCGGCAAGCTTGCCTCTCTACGCAATTAAGGCACCAGAAGCACCATCGGTGCCAGCAACAGCACCAGCAGCGCTCTCGTTCGCTGAAATAGGCAGTTGCCCACGTGGGGCCATCCGCTGTAGGTATGGGCTACCGAAAGTCGGCAAGAATAGTGCTGTGTTCACCGAAAAAATACCCGACGGTTTCGCGCGGTTCCCCATAACGCCTCGAGAACCCCAAAAAAACAAAAACCATTTTGCTGGGGGCTCCGTGACGCTATTTTTTGAGTGAAATACGACGACCCAGTCCCGCTGACGACGCCACGGGCGGACCCTTTTCCTAAGGGATACACAGCGGAACTTTCCAACAGGTCCTGCTGTAGTACAGGTCCCAAATTCGTTCATCGATTTCCAACAAGTGTTACCGCCAAGCCGCACACCCACCAAGTTGTGAGGGACGCGGTTTTCTCTACGCTTCTCAACTTGTGAATGAAGTTGGAGGTACGGGTGTTATCTTCCGGCACATTTCAGGCGGGCCGCTCCATTTGAACCCGAGAGGGCGGTATCTATTTGCTGCGTGTGCTGCACGCCTGGTCGCTACATCGTCGGCACCGCTGGTGAGGGAGGAGGTGCTGCCAAGGACTTTGAGCGTTAGTGGCTCCAACCTTTGAGCGTGAGTAGATCCAACCACACATGGCTGTCAAGGCCACGAGGGCGTGCTTCCTTGGTGCATCATGTGCACACAAAATTGACGGGCGGGCTGACTGCACTACGCTACCTCCCTTCCGCCCTGATGGAGGAAGGCGGTGGTCTAGCAGAGGATACGCTAGAGTATATCGGTTACGACCGCCGACATACGAGTATGGCTACGTCAAATTGCACAGCACCGAAAGTGGAAAAGTCTACAGCAGAGATTTTGGATTTTTTTTTTTGAATTTTGAGAACGTCAGGTGGCATGTACATTGTATCATGAATACGACGAGTCTTGACAGGAACGGTGATGACCAGTTCTTGCTCACTGCCTGCTGTGGCCGGTGGTTGTTATTCTCGCGTCCGTGGCTCTCACCTCCAGTAATTTTACCATGTCATCGATGAATCACGCATGCGTAGTGCTTGTGCGCAACGCCGCAGTGGGCCAAGCGGGATACCCACACACCCATCCGTACCGCAAGAATCGAAAAGGGAGAGAGAGCACGAGCAAACGCTCATGGCGTAGGGACACATGCATAGGTACGCCATTTTTCTTTTGACGGCCAACATACAGGAATCTTGTCACACGGACTTTGTTTTATGTAGATTGTAGGCATCAACGTCCCGCCCTAAATGACAAGCTGCTGGTGTACTATGTACCAGGATGGGGCTCAGCCGGAAGAAGCGCGTGGGGCTCGGAACAGGAACGGGCATGTCATGGAAGGATAACAACGCGTTCGCGGATGACCAGGCAAACCTCCTATTCTTGGAAAGCATGAGGGAAAGAATCGATGCAATGCTCTCTAGCGGCACAATGGAAGACGGTCTGGCACTCGGAGCATGCTCGGATGTCGTCGAGCACGCTTTGAGCTTCAAGCTAGACTTGGGCAGCGGCGATACGGTCGTCATCCTACCGGTAAGAGTACCAGACGTGCTAGCGGCATGCGGCAGCCGGGGGGCATGTTTTGGCCGACCTAGCCATGTTACGATAGTCGTCGGGATCGTAGCCTGGCCTTATGCCGTAGCATCCCCGCATAATGACGTTGGGCGATTTTCACGACTGCTCTGAACGTAGTAAGGCGTCAGATCTAGCGCGTCTAGACTACATCGTTATCTTACCGTATTTGGGACGAGACCGGCGTTTGGCACGATAAGTGCGTTGGGGTGTAGATGACAGGGCCAAGGCTCCCCACATGTTGTCCCTCTTTCGTCTCCTCCTCAACTCTCGCTCTTGCAAAAAAAATTCCTTAGGGGCCTCTTTTCTCCTGTCCCCCCTGGGGTGTATGGCCCCATTGAATGTTATGAAGAAAATAAATTTCCTACACCCAACGTTTTCAATTTACTCTCACGAGGAACGACACCGATGACGACGCGTAGTTTCTCGAGCACGACTAGTCAAAATCATCATAGCGAAGCACTTGGTGGGCGTGGGTACTGTGTCTTCAAATCGTGTGTGTTGAGTAAAGAACTCCTCTGCAAACGTTAATCGTGCACGTGCGATAGGATGCACCGTGGAAAGACGCGATGCAAACAGGAACGCAACCGTCGCGCCGAGCTTCAACAACCTTCTCCGGTCGTTTTGTTCAGGGATACGAGGGCTTGCTGAGGCGACCCATGTGCGTGGATGTGACAGCTCAAGCCCTGCTCAACGGGGCGGACAGCGCAGACGGAGGGGGCA